ATTAATAATTAAATAACTCCAATTTGAAAGTGAATTAAAAGGTCATTTAAAAAAACAATAAATTAATATTATATTAATATAGCGAAACTTAAATTAAATATTACAAAATATAAATCATCAAACGTAATCGTTTCTTTAAGTTTCATTAAAAAAGAGGTTTCAAGATAAGGTAAGTTTCAGTAGAAAGTTAAGAAAAAGGCAAAAAGATTCTAAAGCAAAACGTAAATGAGTACTTAGCTCTGAAGCTGTAGTCAATCAGTGTTGATTTGGTGTCGTACTGGGGCCCATATCCATTACGTAACTGCTTCAAACCATTAGAAAACTTGTAAATTCCAGGAAAGGTGAAAACTCGTCAATTTCACACCAGCCTCCAACAGGGAACCTTCACAGAACCATTCAGAAAAACCCAAAACTGCTCAAAATCTTCGGCTCAAAAAAAAAACTACTGCTCAATCTTCTTAAAAAAACTCGTCCAAAAAATTACTCCATAAAAAATTACTCCAAAAAACTACTCCAAAAAACTCCCAAAATGTCAAATCTTCCCCTTAAGTTGGTAAGGGACACACCTATAATAAATGATTTTTTCTCTAAGTATATGAAAGAAAGTAAAAGAAAAAACTATAACTTACTCGCAGGGCTATTCTCCGCCACATACGATGATACCAAAAAAAAACTTTTCAAAGAAGACGAGAACCACCCTGGGACTTCACCAGTGGTTGAAATGGAAGTGTCGAAAAATCCGAATAAAATGTTAAAATTCGGCCAGAGATTATCTTTTGAAGACAAAAAATCAACACACCAAACTGTGCTCGAAATAGGGAAACCTCAGGAAAGTTATTAATAACATTTAAAGAAAAATTTAAATAATAATATAAATGGCAACCCTGCGCCACCACATTGAACGGCATTCACGGTACTACGAAAATTGCAGCGGTACCAACTAGGGATGGGCATTATTTGCTTTTCTGCTAGAGATGTAGCGCAAAAATAAGAAATTATTTTAGGCTGCTACAAGGTTTAGTTATTAATCTGTGACAGGTTTCAGTCAGAATAAACAACTATGCACAAAGCATTTTAAAGACACAATATGTTTTAATTTTAAATAAAAGTAATTTAATAGATTATGACATTGACATTATTTAACCTAAAATTCAATGGCGTAACTAGAATTTTACTGGGAGCTATCATTTTAGAGATATGACACAAACTTATGTTTTTTAAAGGGGATATCCTGTAAATTATTTTCTTTTTTTTAACTCACCCACAAAAAAAGCCGACCATTAAAAACTAGTCCCAATTTCAAAGTTGGATTTCTCGCGAACCACTCATTAGATTTTGATCATTTTTTTTTAAATTGTAAATTAGTTCCTTCTTAACGGATGCCACGTCAGAAATTTTTATTCCAAATTTATTTTAAGCATATACAGGGCACAACAATAAGACGAAGTTTTTTGCCCGTACTTTGTAACACCCTGTAGGGTGCAGCAGCTGTAGTAGCTATTGTCAAACCAAACTAAATCACATTGTAGCCTCATCTTTTGTGGGCATTTTGGTTTTTTTAATCACGACCTTTTAATCACGGGAAACTTAAATGGAAATGACAGTTCATTAAAAATAGTTTTTCCTCCAAGATGCAGAGGCGCAAAATATTAAAACTGTCAATATCAACAATGCAAATGTCAATATCTGACAATAATAAAATTTGATTTTTAACTGACACAAGACACCCAGAGACGCTTTTGTTGTGATTTTACGGTTTAATTTAGTTTTGTTTGTCGAATTATTGTAAAACCAATGCCTTCCGATTTTTGGCAGTATTCTGTTTTAGACAATGTTTTTTTTTAAAAATGGGTGGGACAATTTGTGTTTTGTATAGACTCTTAGTTATTTTTTATCATGGAGTTTAATTGTTGTACACCGGGTTTCCTAAGAATACAATGGTAAGTAATTAAATATATCTACTTACAGTTATAGATTTTTAAATTAGTACTGTATTAGTACTAAGAAATGCTACTTGCTGAGCAATTATTTATTTTTTTTTACGGTGCATGGGAGGAATTAAGGACGCGCGTTGCGTTATATTAGCATGATCAGCAGATGATTAAATCTAATTTAATTTGTTTTTATTATTTCAGGTCTCAAACGGAAACAAACTGGGAATCTTGCCTACACCAAAATTATATAGCCGTTTCCAATTCACTTCAAAGGGAGGAAAATTATGTAAAACTGCCTGCTACTTGCTGAAAACCGCCAAAGATTAAATTATAACTATAACAACTTAATATATACTATTACTAGTGTTTAATATTTTTTTTAATTAATATCCGACATATAAGAACACTTTGTATGCTCTTAATTAAGTCGATTTATCGTTTATAATATGTTCGACCTAATTAAAAGCACACAAAGTGTTCTTACATGTATGACTAAATTTATTTTAAATTAACTAAAACAACCCCCCTTCCCCGCACCCCACTCTTCCCTTAGTATTTCTTCCTCCGACTACCAGAGGCGCCCTTGTATAATAAAATTGAAATGTATTATAAGTTGCCTATCTATTTAATATTATGTCTCTTATCTATGATCACGACATTATCTCTGTTTGTATTAGAGATACGCTGCTTTAAAACGAACATCTCGGAAAAATGCTTCGCAGGCAGAAAGTTTTATGTATAAATAATCAAGGCGACATACACGAAAACGGATTTATGAGTATTTGCAATATGACATGGATGTTGCTCGTATTGTGGCTTTAATTGAGGATGGCCGAAGTCAACGTTATGTGTCCGATACCCTGGGTATACCTCGAACAACAGTCCAGGATGCCTGGAATCGGTATATGGAAACGGGAAATTTCACCAGGCGAGTGGGTTCCGGAAGAAAACGGAAGACAAATGCAATTGACGACCGCTTTATTGTCCTGAATACTTATAACGAAATCGTAGAATTACAGCGTTTCAGAATCAACATCTGCTACAAGCCGTGCGTAGAACTCAAGTCAGTGAGAGAACAATCCAACGAACACTTATAGAAAACAGCTACTTCCAAGACATCATCGATCATGTCTTCAGTTTGCGCGTTTACATGTGAATTGGGATATTGAGTAAAGTCCATTGAGTGATATTGACTAAAGTCCATTTCAAGGATGAATCGTGGTTTTGCCTGCGAAGCATTTTTCCGAGACGTTCGTTTTAAAACAGCGTATCCTCAATACAAACAGAGATAGTGTCGTGATTAAAAAAACAAAATGCTCACAAAAGATAAAGCTACAATGTGATTTGATTTAGTAGGGGAATTTCGCTTAAAATGACATATGCGGGTAAAATGACATACTGCCCAAATTCAAATTTCCCGTTGGTGTTGTTCTATCTCTACTTCTTCCTCACATGTGCGTCACGTGACACATTTAATACGGGATGTCAATCAGTTGGCTTGTAGCTTTTAGACGAGTATATGTGTTTTGAGTCAGAAGCAGTTTTTAGTACGAGTTTCGTTTTTCATATTTTCAAATTAATCGTAATTTTTTTGGAAGTTATTATTACAAGGCAGGTAAGTTCCATCCGTTATCTTGAACTTCCAATGCTAATGAATCTAATAATTATATTTTGTGAAAAGTTAGAACAATTAAATGCTGCCAATGTATTTATGGGTAATATGACATAGGACATATTTATGGGTAATATAACATAGTATGTCATTTTAAACTTAATTCTTAATAAATAATTCTTTTAATTCTTCTGTTGTCACGAACCTGGTCTTAGAAGAACCATCAGATCAAACTGATCTCACTGAACCTGGATGTTCAGGTTTGCAAAATCAAATTGAAAAGCATCCATTAGAAATGGATACTTTTCAACAATCGACAAACTCAGAACAAAAACAGAATACCAGATAGTAAGGCTAGAAGAGATAAAGCCCACTCCAAAAGCCGTGAAATAAAAAACAAAAGAAAGAGAAGCAGTCAAGATCCGTTGGTTTTTACTTCAACACCAAATTTAGATGAATTAAAAAGAGAAGACAGAAAAACAAAAAATACCGATGAAAAAATTTAGGTCTAAGAGACAAAACGTGTCGCTCGATATAATGAATCGTTTTTCCGATTCCACTACTACCGACGACAACGATGAGGTTGCTTGCATCTACTGCAATGACCTTTATTTGCGATCCAAACCTATGGAAATGTGGGTAAAATGCCAGTCATGCATGAAATGGTCTCACATTGAATGCGCCGGAATAGATCCAAAAGCTAAGATGTTTACTTGTGATATATGTGTTTGATCTTCAACATAATAGTCGATGTATGTGATAAAAATGAGTTTATTTTTGCAGTGTTTATTCCTATGTCATTTTATCCGACTACATGTGCCTAAAATGACATAGAGTATATTAGGTTAAGATTATTAATTTAAATATGTTTGTATTTGTTTAAGTCAGTAACTGTTCCTATACTAACTTGATAAATGTTCCTATGTTATTTGTTCCTATTCTGGTTGTTGTCGTTTGTAAAATAAAAAAGTTATAGAGTTTATTCTAAAAAGTATGTCATTTTAGGCGAAATTCCCCTAATAGCTACTTGAGCTGCTGCACCCTACAGGTACAAAAAACTTCGTCTTATTGTTGCGCCCTGTATATGCTGAAAATAAATTCGGAATAAAATTTTTTGATGTAGCATCCGTTAAGAAGGAATTAATTTATAATTTAAAAAAAAATCATGAAAATCTAATGAGTGGTTCGCGAGAAATCGAACTCTGAAATTGGGAGTTTAGTTTTTAGTGGCCGTTTTTTTTGCCGGTGAGTGTATTTAGCCTTGTTATGAGCTATCTAAAAATATAATGTACTCTATACTTATTTCTATAAACATATTAAAAAATGCGTTTTTTAAGTATTTTTAAAAAAATATTTCCAGAATCTCCAGAAGATGAATTTTAAAAGAAATGTTAAATTAACCTATTGTCGAAACTCGTGGATAAAATTAATGTTTATTGATTTTTGCTTTTCAGATGTACCTCTAGTAACACTTGATCTGGGAAGTAACTTAAATGGCAGCCTCATTCGTGAAGGGGTAGATGTATACTTCGAATGTAACATTAAATCCAACCCGTGGGTCTACAAAGTCAGCTGGAGACACAACGTAAGTATAATATTAACATAATATTTTTAATTTCTTTAGACAAATAAATTAATAATTTAACTACTTAATCACCAAAATGATTTCTGATTATAAGAGATAGAAGAAATACATATCGCGTTGGCATTCATTGATATCTAATAATATCTTGAAAAATATCTTTGATAATAAAAATAAGATATTTATTTCAGTATGTGGTATACTCAATACATTGTTTATAAATAAAATAAATGAAATCCACTAAACATATATCGCACGTTAGAATATTACAAATTACAAGTTACAGTTGGGCGAAGTATAAAAAATGTCTATAAACTTTGATTTAAAAATGAAAAGTGTAATTAAAAAAAAATAAGAAAACTATGTAAAGACTGAAATAAAATATTTTCTTGGACTGGCATTGTCTATAATTTTGAAAGCTGCACAATGTTTTGGTAAGATATATTACTGTCCAAAACATTGTTTAAATTTCACAATTATAGACATTATTAGCCCAAGAAGATTCTTTCTTTCATAATTTGATGTTGTGTAAAACTTTGATTTAAAAATGAAAAACGTAATTAAAAAAAATAGGGAAACTATGTAAAGACTGAAATAAAATATTTCGTTGGACTGTCATTGTCAATAATTTTTAAAGCTGCACAATGTTTTGGTAAGATGTATTACTGTCCGAAACATTGTTTAAATTTTACAATTATAGACATTATCAGCCCAAGAAGATTCTTTCTGTCATAATTTAATGTTGTCTACCACTTTCAAACATATGCAAAACAGAAAATACAATTTACCTATGAATTGAAATGACAGACAGCAACTGTCACCATGATATATTCTCTCGTTGAACAGACTATTTATTATAGTAATTTAGTTAATGTTATGTACTGTATCTGTTTAATTGTTTTATTTATTTTAGGGAAAGCAACTTTATAATAACTTAGCAACTGGCACTATTGTTACCAATCAAAGTTTGGTTCTGCAAGCTATAACTACCGCACGAGCTGGTATTTACACATGCGTAGGGCATAATCAAGAAGGTGACGGTGAAAGCAATCCAGTACAGTTAGACGTAAAATGTAAGTACAAACCAATGTATACGTATTCCTCATATACCGTATGATCGAAAGAAAAACGGCGTCCAGTTGGCTTGGAAATGAACACCAATGACATTCCCCATATAATTTTACATATAAAATGACAGCGATCTTCATTCCATAGCCATCGCTGACGCCGTTTTTATTCGATCGGTATTAATAGTTTCAGAAAATCTCGTATATCAAATTATTTCTTGAGTAAATGTCAAATTGAAAAATTTTGTATGATAAACCTGTATTAGTTTTAAAATCACTTCCTAAATTTTTTGGCACTTCTTGATTTACACCATAGATATACCTGAATGAAAGAGACTAACTTTATACATTGATTAGTGTAACTCAAAATAATACCAACACTATACAGGGTTGTTCACCACATACGACACGGGGTATTGTAGCTAAACGATGAGATTTTTACAAATTGTAAGTTTTGGGTTCGATGAAGGACTATTAGAGGTACAATTTAAAAATAATTTTACAAGATACAGAAGAGTGTCCCAAATAAGTAAAAAATATCAAAGTTGTATTTTTTTAAATGGAACACCCTGTATATTATTACATTTTTAGTTTCTACGATTAAAATAAAGGTAAATTTGATTAAGGTTTATTATACTTAAACCTTACTGTTTTGAAATATTTTCAATTTTAGAATTGCAGTAAAAATTTTAAGGCTTCATTTCTCCAAGGGTATCAAAGTTTTAATACTAAATATTTACTGATCAGTTATTGTGTTGTAATAATAAAAAATAATACTACCTTACAGAGTGTCTAAAAAATTTATTTTAAATAATTATTATTTTAAAACGGCAATAACTTGTTTAATTTAAATGGAATAACCTGTATATTTTATGAGAATCAGATGCACAATTTAATTTTGTATCAAATTGTATTATACCATTTTTTACCTATCTCTTCAAGTTTCCGTAGAAAATGCATTTTCTTGTAATTTAGAACTCATTTATCAATATACCCATGGAATACTGACATTTTAGATTATTTTTAAAGATGTACCAAATTTTTAAAGAGTACAGATACTAATATTGTCGATATAATTCGTTTATTTCATTAAAAAATAAAAAAAAATGTTTAGATGTTTGTTAAAGAGGATCAATTAATATGATTTCAGTATTCAAACTACATTAACTGGCTGTTTGCGTTGATTAATAATAATTGCTCCAAACACTAAAAAACTGAATTTTGTATGGGCATTAGACAGTGTGATAAAAAGTAACACCTTAAAAATGATATTTCATTTTTTAATAAATGCTTATTTATAACAACAGAGACTTTAATTTGATAACTTATTATTATATTGATTTCTGACTCAAATCCACATTTATTTATAATAATTTATTAACGAACACAATTAAGTATGTAATTAATTAGTATATGGGCGGAAATAATGGTGTTATATTTAATTAATGGTATACTCTTTTATAAAGATTTAAATAGTTTTCTTTTTGCATACAAATGGGCTATAATATTATCGTTTTGCTAAAAACGATAATATTACTAGTCTGTACATTTTGGTAACATTTGTTGCTTTAAAAACAATCTAAAATGTCAATATTCCATGGATATATTGATAAATGAGGTCTACATTATAAGAAAAATGCATTTTCTACGAAAACTTGAAGGGATAGGTAAAAAATGGTATAATACAATTTGATAGACAATTTAATTGTGCATCTGATTCTCCTAAAATATACAGGGCATTCCATTTAAATTAAAGAAGTTATTGCCGTTTGAAGCTAATAATTATGTAAAATAAATTTTTAAACACTCTGTATAAGGTAGTATTATTTTTATTATTGCAACACAATAACTGATCAATAAATAAACTTCATTAAATATTTAGTATTAAAAACGTTGATACCCTTGGAGAAATGAAGCTTTAAAATTTTTACTGCAATTTCACAAAATTGAAAATATTTCAAAAACGGTAAGGTTTGGTTTGGTTTGGGTGATTGATTGGTTTGGTTTGGTTTGGTTTGGGTGATTAATATACAGGGTGTTTCATTTAAAAAAATACAACTTTGATATTTTTTACTTATTTGAGACACTCTGTATCTTGTAAAGATATTTTTAAATTGTAGCTCTAGTAGTCCTTCAACGAACCCCAAACTTACAATTTGTAAAAATCTCATCGTTTAGCTACAATACTCCGTGTCGTATGTGGTGAACAACCCTGTATAAAAAATACTGTCATAAAAAATGAGGTGTGTGTATTTCTTTCTGTATTTTTATGTTTTTAGGTATTTTTGTTATTAGATGTTTATTAGGAAACTACTTAAACCGACAAACACCGTTCTGTCCTAATTTATGTAAATTGATAATCATAGTGCTTTGAATTATGAACAGCTAGATATAGACACATTGAGACAAACAACTGTTTTCTTTAGTTTTTAATAGTTAATAAAATATTATATAGGAAAAATGGAACAACTTTCGTTGCACGTCATCAATGACACCATGCGTCGTTTTATGGAGTTCGCTGGTAGTCGTATTATGATGTGCAACGGAAGTTATTTTAATTTCGCTATATTATACAGGGTCCGGCAATAGTGCGTCGGGCATCTGTAGCTCCTAGAATAAATAACTTGAGAATTTTGTATAACTTTAAACCTAAAGTATGTACCAAGATGTATTTCAGGAAAATATTTTAACTTCTATAGGGTGGCTCAAAAAAGTGTGAGTGGATCTGGATGATTTTTTTTAAATGGAACACCCTGTATATTATTGCATTTTTGGTTTCCTTTCAGATCACTTTACATAATCCTAAGATATGAGTAAATATATTTCGATAGTTTCAGAGATGTTAAAAAATAAATCAAAAATATATTTTTTTCAACCCTTCTAAAAAAAATATTAAAAATACAAGAACTGTTCTGAAATCAAAACTATATTAGCTATTTACTTTAGATGGTCTGTTCTTACTTTGCTATAAATATGATAATCGTAAATCGTACAGGATGTTTAATATTCTACGCCAAACTTTCTAAAATATAAAATATTTTTTCTTTGTTTTTTTAAATGGAACACCCTGTATATTATTTTTTATTAGATGGAGAGCTAAAAAATGAACATTTTTTGTAATTAAAGTATTTCAAAATTTTTAATAGTTTTGCAGATACACACAGTATTATTTCATATGGCGCTTACAAGGGTAAAATACGTGAAAAAAATCATTGGGTGGCTTTGATAAAAGTTGACTGTGGAAAATGCCATATGAAATATAAAACCGCGAATACCTGCAAAACCGTTAAAAATTTTAAAATACTCTAAATGCAAAAAATGTTCATTTTTTAATTCTCCATCTATTGAAAAAATAATATACAGGATATTCTATTTAAAAAAAACGAAGAAAAATTATTTTATATTTTAGAAAGTTTGGCGTAGAATTCTGAACATCCTGTATGATTTACGATTTCCATATTTATAGCAAAGTAAGTGCAGACCATCTAAAGTAAATACCTAATACAGTTTTGATTTCAGAGCAGTTCTTGTATTATTAATAATTTTTTTAAAAAAGGCTGAAAAGTATAATTTTTTATTTATTTATTAATATCTCTGAAATTATCAAATATGTTTACTCATATCTTAGAAATTATGTAAAGTGATCTGAAGGGAAGCAAAATCAATCCACTATACAGGGTGTTCCATTTAAAAAAAATCATTCCGATCCACTCACACGTTTTTGAGCCATCCTATAGAAGTTAAAATATTTTCCTGAAATACATCCTCGTACATACTTTGGATTTACACTGAAACAAAATTCTCAAGTTTTTTATTCTAAGAGCTACAAATGCCCGACGCACTATTGCCGGACCCTGTATTTATTATGTCACTAAACATACTGACATACCAAAACTTTTCTTAAGGTAACTAAAACATTTAACTATAAAAATTTAAAATAAATTTAAAAAAAAGTTTTTTTCCTCAAGGAAGTCAAGAACTACATGATATCGATGTGTAGTTTTATACAGGTGTGCACGGAAAATTATTACTCTTCATAACAGGTAAAACACATGTAGGTGATTTCCCCTACAAATAGAAGTCATATTGACATCAAAATTAAACTTATAATATCAAAAAACTCCCCCCAAAAATGGTGCCCGGTGGCGTAGAGGTACAGGCTCTCGTCTACAAATCTCACGGTGTGGGTTCGATTCCCACACCGCGCATTTCATCAGCCGACTATTTTTATTAAAATAAAAATAGTTTGGGTACCTAGGTCGACTCACCCTTAAACGAGTACTTGGGATTCACAATCCTGAGGTAATAATAGGCGGTTGAAGCGTAGTGCTAGCCACATTACCTGCCTTGTATACCGAACGGCTCTGGTATGGCAAGCTGTACCTTGCTACTCCCAAGGCGTTAAACGCTATATACGGGAGCTATTATTATTATATCAAAAAACTCTCAGACACCAATTTTCATCTAAATATTGACGTTACTTCAGAAATTATTCGAAACCAATTGAAATAAGAATGAAACTTTTGCACCCTGTATCTCCGAAACTAAGCATTTTAGAACATACATTTATATGAACTGTTTTACTTATTTTTTATCTGCAAAATATGCTGCCGAAATTTCCGGAATACAGTTCGGACCACCCTGTATTTTAATTGTAGCTTTATTTAGAGAAACCATGTGTGGAAACAAAAGCGTCTCTAAATTGATTGCTCTACTATAGAAAAAAGTATTATCCAAGTTAGTCAAGTAATATGAAAGTTGGCATATCATATTGCTCTTAAAATATCTGTTTTAATACCTTATATGCGATATAGTCCCCATATTTCAGCTTTTTTAGTTTGAGCCGTTTTTGAAAAAGAAAAAAACATAATAATAATGTTTGGTTTGCTCTACATCACTAAATCATTTTTAAAACCTTTATTATCTTAACCAAAAAATAACTTTTAAAGTTTTATCCCACTTATTCATTTACACTCTTGTATTCTGTCTTATTTTTACATATTAGC